AAGGCAAAGCACAGAACAACTTTGAAGACACAAACAGCAATTCCCAGAACTCCAGCGGTAAGTGTGTTCGCTCCCTCCTGCTCTTGCTTCCCACGTCCCTCTCCAGAGCAGGATTCAGCTGTGATTGGTGATTGTTTATATATTTTGAGGTACCTTCTTTGAGCTGGTGGGCAGCTAGCCTTCCTGGGGTAGTGCCCTCTTCTCACTCCTCCCCAGGTTTCTGGTGCTCCAAGCCTGTAAAAACAGTGACATGGGGATCCTGCTCCAAGGGCCGGGTACTTTAGCATAGATTTTTCAGTGGGGAGCAAAGATGGAGAGAAAGGGGCATATGGATGGAGATAAAGCAGAACTTGTTCTTGGTCTGTGCATCAGTGAAGTCCTCGTGAAGCAGAACCATTTGCAACAAGCAGGAGAAGTTTGAGGACTATGAGTAGAACAGCAGTTTGCACGTTACAGTGGTTCTCAGTGTGGCAGTTGATTTACACCTCACTGTGAGCAGAGTCCGGCTGTTTGTGAGTTTGTGATTGCGTGGAGGTCACAGCATACCAGATAAGTAGATGTGGGACCAAAATACATGTGCTAGAATTAAAATTTACTCCATTTCTGGAGTTTCCTTTGTGTCCAAGTGGTAGTAAGTAAACTTAACCACTGGCCTAGACAATTTTGTTTAGATATGGCATTTATAGAGTTGTCTTCACAGGATTTTTATCCTGCCAATGTATCCCCTCTGCCTTCAAGTGGGACACTGCCATTCTCTTACGCTCCCTAATCAGAGCATAAGGGACAGACCAAATGAAATATAATTTCAGTATCTTGATGCAGAGATAAATAATATGCCAGCAGAAAAGACTGGCCTCCCTCCATTCCTCAGTCGAGAATACCAAAACATGTGCTGTTCACAACGCTGCTAGCTGGAATGGACAGGTAAGGGAAGGGGTTTCTCCCTGGAGCAGGTTACACAGTGTTTGTTGTGGGGATTTATGTCTCCCTCTGAAGCAAATAAGGGGCTTTCTGGAACCACGTTGAAAAGGCATGAAGTGGTGTTGGAAAACTCAGGTGCAGTAGCAGAGTGGGTGATAGTGAATGGGAAAAAAAAAAGTTGTTTGTTACTAAGATACTGCGTGTTATGTTTCGGGGAACAATCTTGTACTAATCCAAGCATTCACCACAATTACAGCTGTTCATTCGGGGACAGAAAAACCTAAAGAAAAGAGGTGTAAGCAGAACCCATCAGGTGAGCTTGTCTCTGTGTTTCAGGCCCTTGTACTCTTTAGTTCTGTTCCACTTGGGTGGCAGCAGTCAGGAGTCCTTAGGGGCTGGCCAAGCTTGTCTTCAGTCAGCCCAACCAGACATGACACAAAACAGTGTAGTTCACTGACTACCAAGATTTACTAGCCTGGCTTGCTGCTCTGAAAGTGGCCACTTGGCTCTCAGCAGGTCTGCTCCTCATGTCTTATCTTCTCTGGGTACTCTGAGTGGTTTGTCTGAAAGGTTTCAAAGCCTTGAAGTGTATGTCGTTAAATGCCAATATACCATTTGGGTTCCTGACTCCTCTGGGGCCCTTTGAAAGCAGCAGCCTTAGATTGTTCCTTTTTTATTCCTGTCAAGCCCTGTATAGCCTACAGAGGAATGACAGAATCATCTTCCTGCATATCAGACAGCTTGTCTGTAAAGCCAAGAAAGCTGCAGGAGGGGAAATGAACCTCTAGCATGGGAGGGGTCCAGGAACCACTGGCAAGAAGCACACACAAAAAAAAGAGTGACTATTGAATAGTCCAAGACTTTAGTTCTGTCTGAACTGCTATTAAATCCTGACCCATTGTTGCTGTGATGGGTCTCATCAGATTCTCCCCACCATCTCCTTGTACCAGCTCACATCACACTCATCCTTCTGAATCTGTTTTATCTGAACTGCAACATTTACAGCACATGAGTAAAAGCTCACAGTAAAAATCAAAACAAAGCCAGAAATTCTTAGAAATTGAGTAGTGACTTTCATATGATTTGCTCATCTTACTTTATTGTAAGAATTGTTTCTGTCTGCACCACATGTATGATCAGTTTGTTTTAGTGTCTTAGTCTAGGGCCTAGCAGGCTGCAGGGAAGTTGCAAGGTGCTTACCTAAACTTTTGTTTGAGCCAGGAAGCCTGAGGAACTTGAGTGATCTGCTCAGGAGTGGTTTGTGGGGAGTTGGGCTCTGGTTGGAAGCAGATCTTTTCTGCATTAGGCAGCTGAAATCAAAGCCAGACTGGTGCATGGAGATGTATAAACTCCTTCCCTTTTCCCCCTTCCCTTATCTATCCTGCATCCTCTTTTCTTCCTCAACCTGCTTTTCCCCCTTGACTCCATCTTTGTGCTGCTTCCTGTGTGTCCCATTCAGTGCCCTTTCCCAGCTCTAGCACCAAGCCATTTCTGCTCTTTGATTTCTTCTTGTTCTCAGGAGTCAGTCTAAGTGTTCTCATTGATAACAGCCTGACTGATCATCACCGTGTCACACTATGGATGGCACTGGTGATGAGAGAGACCATGGAAAGCTCTGCAGGCATCTGCATGCTTGAGTGTCCAAGCAGAGCTCTCAGTAGCTTCCTTTTTGAAGAGCTGACATGTCCTTACCTCCCCATTTTCCTTCTTTCCACGGCTGTGTTTCAGTAGGTGGGACAAACTGTGTGGCTCAGTGTTTCCATGTGTGATGTGAACTCTTGGGAGTAATTCTGGCATTGTTGGCTTGTCCTCTCTTGTGCTCCAGCCAGCAGATTTCACACAGGCAGGGAAGCAGCTGGTGATAATGTGGATGAGAATGACAGAAGGATGGGCACTTCTGTCCTCACCATTCCCATCTGCTGCTTATCACCAGGCTCCTGCTGCTGTAAAGAATAGTCCCCAGGTTTGGGAGGTAAATGTAGGTCCCAGTTGAGCAGCCCAAGAGCTGTGTGACTTGGCCTTGTTCAATGCTTGGTTCCCTGTACCACTTGCTCTTTGTGGGTGTGAGTTTTGTGTCACAGGCTCAGTTACAGTGATATCAAACAGAGCAGCAGGATTTTATTAGGGTACCAGCCGGGTACATTATGCT